GCTCTTGCTCAGGCTGGTCTCCAACCAGTGAGCTCAGGCAATCTACCCACCTCAGCCTCCCAGAGTGCTAGGATTAGGAAACTATGTTTAACCTGGTGAAGACCTACCAGTCCTCAATCCCACAGGCCATTAGAGTTCTGCAGACTGTAGCCAGTGAATCAAATCTGGCCCTCTGCATGTTTTTGCAAATAAAGTTTTATAGGCACATGGCCCTGCCCACTCATTTGTATATTATCCTTGGCTGGCTTCTCCTTCAGTGAGTAGAGATGAATAGTATTTAACAGAGACCTTCTGTCCCACAGTGTCTAAGTGTTCACTCTGGCCTTTTACAGAAAATGTGTGTTCATTAATTACCATTTATTACATATACTGTAATATGGCTATGTATACATGGTAGGAATCCCTGCCTTCCTCACACTGCATAGAAAGCTCCTTAAGAGCAGAATTTGGTCTTTTATTTTTTTATACCTGATTCCTACTGTTATTGAATTAAACACATTTCTCAGCCTGCTCCATAGTGGAGGACACTGAGCACAATAAGCTTCTGGAGTACCCAGGCCTCCACTTGAGCTGCTGGATATAGTCACCTGCAATCTCAACTATCCCATGCCCCTGAGACACTCCAGACCATGTCAATCACCTTTTTTCATCCAGGGACAGGCCTCCCAGGTGATTCCAAGATTTAGGAACACAGGGCTAACTGCTTCCTAACCCTAAATTTCTCTAGTTCTCATGAATTCAGTCCTGGAGCCAACCGACCCTTCCTTCTAAGCAAACAGCTCTGATTTTCAAGCCTTGCCAGGTGCAGGTATCCCACACGGGTTCTAGGTGTGTTTTCTATATTTTTCCCACATATTCTGAGCCTGTGAGTCCAACAGGGAAAGGGTAATCCCTTCTACCTTGGGGTCCCAACTTGTCACAGCTAGAGAGAGACACAAAAATATAACTGATTTTTTTTTTTTTTGAGATGGACTCTCACTCTGTCACCCTGGGTTGAATTCTGTGGCCTTAATCTTTTGGGCTCAGATGATCTTCTTGCCTCAGCCTCCCCAGTAGCTGGGACTATAGGTACCTGCCACATGCCTGGCTAGTTTTTCTATTTTTAGTAGAGAAGAGGTCTCACTCTTGCTCAGGCTGGTCTTGAAAGTCCTGAACTCAGGGTATCCTCAGCCTCAGCCTCCCAGACTGCTAGGATTACCGAGGTGAGTCACTGCAGCAGATTCTATTTTTTTTTTTTAATGACCAATGTATTCATGGCCTAGGGTGCCATACAAATGACCACATACTGGGGACCTAAATTGGAAATGTATCCTCTGGCAGTTCTGCAAGTCATAAGCTCTAAATCAAGGTGTCTCAGAGCTATGGTCCCTCTGCATCTCCAGAGGAGGCTCCTTCCTGCTTCTTCCAGCTCCTGAGGGCTCCAGGCATCCTTGGCTGGTGGTGGCATCCCTCCAGTCTCTCCCTCCACCTTTGCACAGCCTTCTCCCCTCCTCTGTGTCTGCATTTTTCTTCTTCTTATAAAGGCCCCAAGTACTTGATTGATTGAGAGCCCACCCTAAATCCAGGATGATTTCAACTCAAGATCCTCATCATCTTCCAGCCACAAAAACCCAGTCTCCAAAGGAGGTCATGTGATAAGCTTCCAAATGAGCATGAATCTTGGGGGAACACCATTCAGCCCAGTACAATCAACAAACATCATTTTTGTTTAGTTGACAACTACCCACATTTAAAATGAACACAAGTGCCTGTAGTCCCAGCTACTTGGGAGGCTGAGGCAAGAGAATCACTTAAACCGAGGAGTTGGAGGTTGCTATGATCTGTGATGTCATGGCATTCTACTGAGGATAATAAAGTGAGACTCTGTTTCTGCAAAAAAAACCAGAACACAAAACAGCCCTTCCATGTGAAGATCCTTCTCCTCATTCTGCTAACTCTGCTTTTATTTTTCTTACCATTTCCCTCACTCCTCCCCACCCCCAAATACCACCCTGGTCCTTCCTTTACTTGTTTTTGCAATGTCATGGTATCTTCTGCATGGGCATAAGAGCTTCAAATCCTTTCTGGACCAAGGGAGGGTAGATAGATAGGAATGTTTAAGTAACTTGACAATTAATATGCTAAAAATCCATAAAACAAATCCACTGAAGGGCTTTGAAGACATTACCTCAATAAGCTTGGAGCAGTGGTTCTTGAAGGGGTGAGGTGAGGTTCTTGAAGGGGTGATTCTGTCCCCCAGGGGATGTTTGTGGTTGTCATACTAGGGGACTGCTCCTGGCATGGGGTGAGTGGAGGCAGGGATGCTGCTCAGCAGTGCCCAGAACAGCCCCTTCCCAGAGAAAAATCCAGCCCCAAATGTCCACTGTATCCAGGGGGAAGAACCCTGCTGTAGATATTGAAAGTGAGTGTAAGCTTTCAGCTGACCAGAAATAATGTCTCTTGGTTATTTAAAAGAAAAAGGAAAAAGAATCAGCTATAGGTGTGTGTCCTCATGGGGAAACCAGCAACTCTCTGAGGGTTTGTGGTGACCCTGTTCCAGCTCCCATGTGAACCCTGGATTTTATTGCAAACAGCCTAGTGGGTGGAGGGTGTGAATGCCTGCCCGGTTTCTTTCTGAGAAGTAGAATGCAGAGATGCTTCTCAGAGAACTGGCTCAAGAAGGGGATTACCCACGGTCTCCCAGAAGAGCTGGTAAAAAATCAGAACAAGACTTCCTGTTTCTTGAGTTGCCTCGGGCAGCTTTCTCCACTGGAGAGTGTTGCTCCCCAAGCTTGCAGGCTGAGAATAAAAAGAACAATAAATAGGTGATGTATTTTGAAGTCCTTCTAGGAGAGGCCCTGGTTGGCATTTTATAGCTGAGAGAGTTCAGACCTGAAAGGAGAAAGGACTTAGGCTGGAGAGCAGAGATAGAGGGATGGTGTCCCTCCTGGGCAGGGATGGGAGGTGCTGCCCCTAGCACCCACTGTGATGCGGCTCGACCAGGGTCTCTCCTGTGCAACACTGGAGGCATTAGGGCCAGATTCTTTTTTTAGAGACAGAGTCTCACTCTGTCACCCAGGCTGGAGTACAGTGGTGTCATTACAGGTCATTGTAGCCTCCAAATCCTTGGTTCAAGTGATCCTCTTGCCTTAGTACAGGGCTGGGCTAAGGTCCTATCAGGCTGGCGGGGGATGTCACACTCAGTGTTTGTGGTGGCTCAGAAGTTTAATTTCCCTTCCTTCTCTGCAACAGTCTTGGAAAGGCAGTAGGATTCTGCTTGCTGACCCGGCCTCCAACTCTTCTGTGGACTCGTGCACCCGTGGGTGGGGAAAGGGGAGTCCCAGAGTTCCCTGGTGTCTGCTGTCTGCACTTTCTCTATGGTCCAAGGCGTAGGTTCACACTTGCCTGTGTGTAAGCAGGAGGGCAGGCAACCTCTGGTGTCTCTAGGTCACTAGGTCAGAAGTTCTCTCAGGGGGAGATTCTGAGTCCCCAGGGGACACTGAGTAATGTCTGGGCAGATTTATGGTTGTCACTAATGGGGTGTTCCTGGCATGGAGTAGGTGGAGACAGGAACGCTGCATTGCCCAGGACAGCCCCACCCCAGAAAATGACCCAGGGACAATGTCCATAGTGCCTGGGGGAGAGACCAGGCTTAAAAGAAAGCCACTTCCAGCCACCACCTACCTGTGGCTGAGCATCCTGAGACCCTGGAACTCCCTAAGAGCCATTTGGGCCACAGGGAAGGCATCTTCTCATCAGATCTCAGGCCTCCTTTTGCCTTGCGTACAGCTGCGACAGCTAGGGCTGCTGGGAGAGGCTTGTGCAAGGCCCTCAGCCTCAGTCCAGGCCACATACCCTTGCGGGTACCCTTTGTGTAGGTGGGAAAAAACCCCAGTGGTTTGTGGAAACAGCAAATGTTTGTAAAGGAAGAAGGGCCGGGCTGTCTCTGGGAGACCATAGGTGACCTTCAGGGCCAGAGGGAAACAGCCTCAGCCACGTGAGCCTGGCAGGGCCTAGGACCACTCAGGAAGTTGGACCTGGGTTAGGACTGGGTTGGGGCCTCAGCTGACCTCTTAGGGCAAGCCCACAGCAGATTGAGCCCCACTGTGCAGGATGGGGCCTCCCTGAGGAACAAGGGGGCCCCAGCAGTGAGCTGTGCAGAGTATAGCTGTGGTGTGGCCATGGCAGCCCCACCTGAAGCACAGGACAAGGCCTGTGGCTGAGCTGGGCACACGTCCCGGCTCAACGCTGAGAGTCTCTTTGTCCACAGAGTAGGAGGCTGGTGGTGTCCTTGTAGACAGGGTGAGCCTGGAAGGGAAGGGGCAAGGTTGCTTACACTCCAGGCATTAAATGTCAGACACAGACGTGGCCCCAGCTCCATCCAAAGTCCTGCTTGGAGCAGAGGATCCCATTCTGTGGAAAACAGCAGCTCCAAAGTGCCCGAGTCCACCCCACCCCTAGAGTATGATCACAGGGCCTTCCCTCTTTTCCTGTTGACCTTTGGCCCTGGGCAGCCAGCCTCAGATCACTGGCCTTCCTGCCCAGGTATCTGTCACTCCCTCCACCCGAGGTTAATTGGTTGGCCCCCCAAGTTTGCAGTTTCCACCTCCCTCTGTGCCCCGGCACGTGGCTTACATAAAAGTAGAAACCAGAGATGGAAAATCACTCAAGTATTCCACGTGAAGCCTTGATTCCTGCACATTTTGTTTTTCTTGCACTGGTGTGCCTGATGTATTGCACTTTTGACCACGAGATGAGGCTCCCGTATTCTGAAATGGAATAATACAAGTTCTAGCGAACAACAATTATCTTTTCTGAATGGATCAGTTGTAAAGAATAAAATTGATTCTCTCCCCACTGAGGGGGCATTTTCTCCACAGGACATAGCTGTTTCAAATTCTCATGCCACATTTTTGGTGACAGCAACATCATTCTCTGAGAAACACTGGAGTAGCTCTCTTGAGTTCCTTGTAAGTAAAAAATATTTAACCATGCTTTTCTCTTTCTCCTTTTTTAAACAGGGCATAAAGCGTGCTTCCTGAGAAAACTAAAAAAGGTATGTAACATTTTATCTTACTTCAAGAGCTTGGAATCTCTTGTTTTTTAGAAAAAGAAACAAACAAGCCACAGTGTTTTATGTGCTCCTGACACATGGGGAGTTGGAGTCATCCCATAAAGAGCTCTGGGCTCAGAGCCAGGAAACCTGAGTTCAAATCCCAGGCCCACCTCTAACCACTGTACCACATTTGGGTGGGTGCCTGTCATCTGTCTGCAGTGGAGATGACATTCCTCACTTTGCAGGAATGTTGCAAAGGCTTAAAGGAGGCTGTAGATACAAAAATGTAAAAAGGCACAGCACAGTGCCTGGTATTTAAGAAATGTTGAGCTGAGTCTGAAACTATGGCCGATCCTGTCATTTGTGTATTTCTAGGAATCTGTCAATTTCGTGTGGATTGTCTGGTGGGGTGGGACTACAATTATTCTTAACAGCACAGTATTCTTTTATATTCCTTTTCATTTTTATAAGGTTGGTAGTAATAGAAGTAGTAATGGAGTAACGGCCCCTCTTTATTTCTGACTAGTCATTTTCTTTCATCTTCTCTTCCTTTTTTCTTTTTGGTCAGCCTAGCTAGAGGTTTGTCAGTTTTGTAGATCTTTTCAAAGAACCAGCTACTAACTTTTGGTTTCCTCAATCCTTCAGTTTTTCTGGTCTGTTTTGTTTATCTCTAATCTTTGTAATTTTCTTCCTTCTATTGTCTTTGGGTTCTTTTCTCTCTTCCCTTTCTGGTTCTTTAAGATGTCCAGTTAGGGGCTCGGCGCCTATGGCTCAACCAGCTAAGGCGCCAGCCACGTACACCTAAGGTGGCGGGTTCGAATCCCC